ACCTAAACACATTACATCCGACATAAATTTCATATTAATCTATATTAAATTATCGATCGATAGATCGATTGATCGATCTTATTTCTTTTTAACTCGAATCTTTTTTTTTTTTTTTTTTTTTTTTTTTTTTTGAATAAAACAACAAACGACAACTTTTTCAGATTTTTCCTACAATGAAATGTAAAATGTTGCACATCACGTACGTAATTTTTTTTATTGCTGACACGTTCGTTTCGTTTCTTTGTTTGTCGTTCGAATAAAAATTGAGTTTTCGCGTTTTTAATTCGTTTTACGTATTACTCAAAGACAACAACAAACTTTCTTCTTCTTTCTATTATTATTATTATTATTATCATTATTATTATTATTATTGTTTTCAATTTTTCAGTTACTGAACGTACTGAACGTTCGTACATTTTCGTAGAAGAATATTTCTCGTTAATTAATTTATCATCGAACAATATGACGAAAAAAAAAAAAAATTTTTCTTGTCTTTGTTGTTGTTGTTTTGTATAAAATATTTTTTGTTGAGGATTCGCGAATTCGAATGAAATTTTTTGATTTTTTTTTGTTTGTTTTTTGTTTGTAGACAAAATAAACGTGACTTTATTCACGCGTGTGCGTGTGCGTGTTTGTCGCGACGTGTTTTTTTATTTTATTTTTCTGAATCCTTGTTGTTGTTGTTGTTTTGTATAATTCGTCCGTCCACGAGATTTCGGCAATTTTTTTTTCTTCTTTTTTCCTTCCCCCCCCCCATCAATAAATATTTAATGCCTCGCCCCTAATAATAATAATAATAATAATAATAATAATAACAACGTTCTTTTCTTTTTCTTTTCTTTCTCCCTACTTTCTATAATAAATTTTTTTTTATAGAATTTCCCGATCAAATTTTAACATAATATCTTTTTAACAAAAAAATTCATACCCATTCATTCATTCATTCATTCATTCATTCACAACGAACGCATTAAAATTCCTAGTTTTAATTTTTTTTTTTCTTTTTGTTATGCGACCTTGTGGATTTCGATATATATATATATAATACGGCATCACTGTGGCGTTTCAATGTTGCGCTATTATTATTATCATTATCATTACCATAATGGTTATTTTCTTTATTATTACAATTATTATTATTATTACTATTATTATTATTATTTTGCGAGTAAATTTATTCAAATCGTTCACGTTCTTGTAACAAAAAAAAAAAAAAAAAAAAAAACACGAATTCCGTAAATGTAATAAAAAAAAAAAAAAAAACATCATAAAATATCCTCGGTTTTGTTCGTCGTGTTTTTTCAAATACACACACACACACGCACATACCTCCAAGGATATTTCTGTTCCGTTTTATAAACTATCCCGAAAAATAAGTAGTATTAATAATAATAATAATAATAATAATAATAAATTTTCATGGGCCTTATTTAAAACCGATAAATCAATCGCACTCGTTTCGAACTATTTCGGCGTGACTAAATCGAAAACCTCAACGACCATCTTTCGTTCGTTCCAATAGGAAAACATTCACGCTCGACGTGAGATAATCCAGTATTAATAACTGAGGATGGGATGAAATCCCTCGGGAGTGACCGATCGGGTTACCTATCAACATTTTTTTTAAAAAAAAAAACTTTTTGTTTGGTTTTTCTGAATCGAAAACCGTACAAAATTCGTAAACTGTACTCCACGACGACGACGACAACGTGTAAAGAAAACGGGAAATTTTTCCTGGAACCAATTCCAGAAATCTTTTAAAAATAGAAGAAAAGAGAAAGGGAGAAAAAAATAAAAACTAATAAAAAAACGATAATTAATAATAAATCGTTCGATTCGAGTTAATAGTATTATTATTATTATTATTACTATTCGTCCAATAGTGAGAATCGAAACCGGGATTTTTTTTTTTTTTTTTTTATTGGTTTCCGTTTCGGTATGCCACACTTTAACCTTCCTCTTTTAAACTTCTCCCTTTTTACTCCTGCTACTACCACCACCACCACCACCACACCTTTCAACGTTTTCCCCCCGTCGTCGTGTCAGTCTCCCCTCCCTCCTATAACCCTTCGCGACCCTACATATATGTTTAAATGAATTCCTTCGATTTCTGCGATCGAAATCCGAGAGCCTAACTAATGTTAACGATTCGATTGACATTCGTTTGAGGAAAAAAAAAAAAGGTCATTTGCCAAACTTCGTTCGGTTTCTTACTACATAAAACTATTGAAAAAAAAAAAAATAATAATAATCGAACGTTTCGACAGGTTAACGAACGAACTAAACCGATCGTACGGACGCCAAAATAATTTTCCCAACCGTAAAACCACATATATATAAATACCCGTTTATTCTCATGATTGCAAAAACAAACAAAAAAAATTATTATTATTATTATTTTTATTGTTATTGTGATGATGATGATGATGACGGTGACGGTGACGATGACGATGATAATAATAACTTTAATAATAAAAGAAAAAAGAAAATCCTTTACGTCTCAATCGACGCCCTTTTGTTTTTTTTTTATTACAATGAACTCAACGGTATCGAATACAACGAAAATAATTTAAAGAAAAGAAAGAAAAAAGAAAAAGAAAAGAAAGACTAAAGAAGAAAGAAAAAGAAAAAGAAAAAGAAAGAAAAGAAAAAAAGAAAAAGGTGAAGAAAATCCCTTACAACTAGAATTTCAACAAAAGGAAAAAAATAAAATAAAAACAATAGGCCATTTCGATAATTAATCCCATTGTGATATTCCAAACCCTTATTATTATCATTATTATTATTATCATCGTATGAATATAATAATAATAATAATAATAATAATAATGATGATGAAAATAACTTAAATTGTTTTTTTTATTTTTAGAAAAAGTTTTTTTTCCACATCTTTTATGAATACGTGTAAATACACACACAAACACACACAAACCCACGCACACACAAACATTCCAGCAAAAGGGAAATTTTTATTATCATTATCATTATCATCATCATCATCATCATTATTACTATTATTATTATTGTTTTTTTCTTTCTGATAATTAATTAACTTTCCCTTTTTTCATTGCCGGTGAATTTTTTTTTTCACGACTCGTAACTTTCCGTGTAAAATTTTCGCACGCCGTAATATTAATTAATTGGTCGGTTGTTTTTTTTTTTTATTAATCTCGGAACACAGAAGGGAGGGAGGGGAGGCAATAACAACAACAACAACCCAACAACCGCGATATGTATTCAACATATACGAAAATAACATTTTATATTATTAGTTTTTCCTTTTCCTAGTTCGCACCTTACTAATCGTCACGCCTTTCTCACTTTCCCATTAGAAACTCGACGAGGCATCCTTACCGACGACGACGACAACCTTACCGAGACAACCTTTGCCATATGGAAAGAATGCCTAACACGAACGGACGACGAGGTTTTTTAACTCGAACGGGAACGGACCCGAGTGGGGATCTTATCATAATCATCACCATCATTTCTTCCAATCGATTTCCTTCGACAACGACAAAAGCCCCCCCATCCTCCCCGAGAAAAAAAAATTTCTCTACTACGATCGGTACGTAAAACAAATTCCTCTTAAAACATAATAATAATGATAATGATAATGATAATGACGTACACATACGTACGAGTTTTGTATTCTAAATTAACAAAAACAATCGCTAACAACTTTGACCTGATTTCGCCTGAGAACAAGAATTTTTTTTTTTTTTTTCTTTACGCGACAAACAACAAACGCAAAAATTACAATAATAATAATAATAATAATTGTTTGGCAACTTTTAACACTTGTAAAAATACAGGGGAAAAAAACGCGCCATGATAATTTCTTCTCTGTACAATTTTTTTTTTCAAATTTTGAAATAAAAAATTTTAGAACGTTATAGAACGTAAAATCTCTTATAAGAAAAACTTTTCGAATCTTTTTTCTATCGCTTAAAATTATAAACAAACAAATCAATCCGGATTTTTAAATAATAATAATAATAATAATAATAATAATAATAATAATAATAATAATAAAAACCAGAACTATAAATATGGTTATTTATAGATCTCGTTTTCAATCTTTTTTTTCTTTTTTCTTTTGCTTTCATTAAAATCATAAAAAGAAGAAGAAGAAGATGAAGAAGAAGAAGAAGGAGAAGAAGAAAGAGGGAAAGAAAAACAAATTTTTAAATTTTACTGCGTTGTAATCACTCTTAAATGAGGAAAAGTAAAAAAAAAAAAACAAAATGGCTTTGAAAATTCCAAGAAGTAAATAAATAAAATTTCCGAAACGGGAATTCGCGTTTATTAAGAAAAACTTTAAATAAATAAATAAAGGCGGGGGTCGGGAGGGGGGGGGAAATTCTTGGAAAAATCACGTTTTCTCCCAAAAAACCAAACCAGTTTGTTGTGTCTGTGTGTTCGAACCTGTTTCCGTAACGGAAAATGGTGGAAAACAAAAACAAAAAAAAAGAAAAACTTGGATTTGCTTTCGTGGCAGTAGAAAAAAAAATGTCATCACGAGTGCAAATGAACGTAATTGAAATCAATTACAGAAAGAGAGAGAGAGAGAGAAGGAAATTTTCGCCGGAATATATGAAATCAATGCGTGTGTGTGTGTGTGAAAAGGATGAGAGCGTGATAGACGACGACTAACATGGCGACGAAATAATAATAATAATAATAACTTGACTAAAAAAAAATTTTTTAACATGTCCTACATCTCTTTTCCTCCTCCACTCCTTCCCCTCACTCTCACTCTCTCTCTCTCTCTCTCTCTCTCTCTCAGTTTCATTTGCATTACAATGCCCTTGAAAAAAAAAAATTTTTTTTTTTTTTTCCTTTCGAGGTTATTATTCGGAAATTGGAAATTTTTTTTTTTTTTTTTTTTTTTTATTGTTCATTTCATTACGAAACGTTTTTCCGCCTTAGCAAATTCATTTTAACGCTTTTCAGAACAACAACAACAACAACAACAAAACCAAAAAAAAAAAAAAAAAATTGTTGTCGTCATCATACGTTTTACACGCACGACAAACGTTTAAAAAAAAAAAAAAACGTACGTACGTACGTAATTCGATTTTGATAATGACACGTCAAACCGTGCAAATACGATCAGAGTCTCATCCGTGACAAAAGCAGAAGACAAAAAAGAAAAAAAAGAAGCAGAAGAAAAAAAAAAAAAAATCTTTTCCATTACGTGAATAAATTTTACTCGTGGAAAATATGGAAGAAACTGGAAATTACCCGAAACGAGAGATTCGAGGAGGTCGCACGATTTGAAAATTTTCATGGGGGAGTGGCGGGAGAGGAAGGGAGGGAGGAGGCGGGAAGGGAAGGAAATTCTTTCGCGTGACTCAATTTCAATAATGATAATAATAATGATAATGCTTATTAATTTAATAAATGCATTTAACGAATTAAAAGAAAAAACAAATTCGAACCTCCTTCCTCTCATAATTACTACCATACGCCACCCTCATTCTTTACTCCTCAAACCACGACCCTTTCTATTAACAAAAAAAACAAAAAATTGGGGGATGTAAACGCGATGATGATGATGAAGATGATGATGACAATTCTAATGACAAATTTTCTCATTTTCTTTCCTTTTTCTTTTTTTTTTTTTTTTTAGGTTAATCTGACACCGGATTTGTCAATTCCAGTCACCGCGCGAGAAATATTCATATCAAATGCAAAACGATTAACGATTCATCCTGGAACTTTTTTAAACCATAAAAATTTAAAAGTCGTTTCGTTTACGAACCTGGAAAATTTGGCAATTTCAAATTCGGCTTTTCAAAATCTCACATCCGATTCTTTAACGTTTTTAATCGAGGTAAATAAATTTCATTTCGTCTAGAATTTTTAACGGTTTCATTATTAATAATGATGATGACGATGAGGCTAACATTTTTGTATTATTATTATTATTTTCAGAATTGTAAAAATGTCACCATGGAAGAAGACTCGTTTAAAAATTTACGTAATCCACTCTCGGTGACGATAATCAATTGTCATCGAGTCACGCTTAAAAAATCAACTTTTAACAAATTCAATAAAGTTCAAATAAAAAACGTCATCGATTTGGTGATGATGGAAAATACGTTTTTTTCTTCGAGTGTTAAACAAGATCTCGATTCGGCGGAAACGACGGTTCGTTTTCGTTTTTTATTAGTTTCTTCCGGTCTTTTGAATAATCATTTTTTCGAAAAAAATCTTTAACGTTTTTTAATTTTGTTTTTTTCTCATGTGACGACAGATGTTATTTTCTAACGCGACCATCAATGAAATTCCAAATGCGACGTTTCCATTGAGTTTGGCAAAAATCCTTTTTGACAATTGCACGATTGGAACCGTGAGGAGCGGAGCGTTCAACGGAATCATTCTCGCGAGCGTTTCATTTAAAAATTCAAACGTTAAAAAATTTGAAAGCGAAGCGTTCAGCGAAAGGACTCTCATTCAAAGCGTGGATTTCGTCGATACGAACGTCGAGTACGTGGATTCGAACGCGTTGTCGGCTGCTGCCAGATTCACGATTCGAAATTGCAGGTGAGTTAGCAGGAGCACAATATTTTGACGATATATATCCCTCCCTAACTGACGACTCCGGTGGTCAGTTACACGCCCACGAGAAAAAAAAAAACGTCTCGACTGACGAGTCGAACGTTGGTTTGAACGTTTGCCAGTATATCAAATAGTAGTAGCGTCCCACGTTCGCTCGTTTGTCCATTAGTCATCATCATCATCATCAATGTCGTCAATACGAAGTTTTATTGTATATAGACGCAAACGATTATCGTGTTTGTTTGTTATTTTGTTTATTAATTACAGAATTTATGAAATGACCAACGACGCTTTCAATGTCAACGCTGCCTACTTGAAACTTCACGACAACGACTTTTACGTTTTGCGACGTTATGCGTTTCAAATTCACAATTGGAACAGCATCGTCATCAGTGGGAATCGTTTTAGAATTTTGGAACCTGATTTTCTCTCAGCTCCGTTTTCAAACATCACCACCGCGACCACGACCGCCGCCGTCACGACGGAATTTATTTTTTCCAATAACACGTTACCGAACGTCGAAATCGACGTTTTGGCATCCCTTCCGCACGAGTCCGAACTCTCCGCGTCGATACGGGATAACATATTCGAAAACGTTTGTCACTGTCATTTGGAAACGTGGATACGAGAAAGGACGGGAAGTTGGTGGGAAAATTTTTACGAAACTAGTTTTTGTGTCATTAGTGAACTGTTAGAAGAATGTTATAATATTAGTAAGGGATATATGAACATGAAAGAGTACATGGAAGAATTTTGCACTCCGGAAAATATGATCGTTTGTAAAGATTTGCATAAAAGTCACCGTCCGAATATCATACTGCCCTTAGACCTTCACAACACGGAACGAACGGTGTTGGGAGTCATATTTCTCGGAGTCGTGTGCAGTATCGCGATCATGATTACCATTTTATCAATTATGTGGTTTAGAAAAAGAGATATGTGCGTGAAAAACTCGAGAAAAACTCAATCCTCTGACTGCTTGTTTTTTTCTCGCTTGTGCAATACCGGCAATTTAGTGACGAGCGATTCCATATCGCGAGTTAACATACACGAATACGCGGAAATACAAAATCAATTAAATCAATCGCAAAAGCAAACGACGACAACTTTAATTATAGACGATGAAGGAGAACAAGAAGATGAAATCGTCGACTGCGAGAATAAAGCGACGCAAACGATTCCCGAAGAACTCACGCAAGAGCTCATACAATCGTTGAGAGAAAAATTAAACGATCCTGAAAATTACAACGAGGCGAGAGACATGATCGAACATTTATACGATCTCATCAAAGTCGAAGAAAGTTGCAATAACAATACCGTGAGCCCGAGGAATTCGTTTACGTTTGAAGATGACGACGACAACGACGACGACGGAGCCGGCGGTGGAATTTACGAAGTCATTCAAACATCCAAAACGCCAACAACAGTCAAAAGTTTAAGAAAAACCATAAGGAAAAATAATAATTCTGGAATTAAAGTTGTCAGCACTGGAACGAGAGCCCCATCACCCGACAAACTCTCCCCGATTAATTTCAACTCCCTAACCTTGAGACCTTTGCCGACGATCGTGAGCGATTACGTGGAGCCAAAAGATAGAAAATCCAACGAATATTGCGAACTCACGTCGAGTAATCTTATCATGCCGGACGTCCTCACATCGTCCCAAATCAAGGACAATAACCCTAACATGCCAAAAACTCATATATACGCCGAACCATTAACGTGCCTTACGAAAAAACCTTTGCCAGACAAGCCTCAGCCGGGAACGTCAAAATCATAATCATTCCACAATCGTGCAATAAATAAATCAATCAATCAATCAATCACTCAATCAATCAATCAATCTCAATACTTTATCATTTCGTCGCCGATGAAACAAAAGAGACTTTTTTTTTTTCGTACGAAAAAAGCGTGTCTGTGATATATGTCGCAAAAAAAAACAAACAAACAAAGAAAAATGTAAATAATAATAATAGTAATAATAATAGTAATAATAATAATAGTAATAATAATAATAATAATAATAATAATTTAATGTAATAAAACTCGCGTATAAAAAAAAAAAAAAACGACAAACGACGTGTGAATTTTTTTTTTTTTTAATCTTTTACGAGAGGGGAAACTAATTGTAGTGGTGGTGCAATGACCGAACGTAATCCGTTCGTTTTTCCAATGCGAAGAAACCACCAAGATCGCATCGAATGAGAACAAAAAAAGAAGAAGAAGAAAAAGAAAAAATAATGAAAGAAGAATAAGAGAGAGAGAGAGAGAGAGAGAGAGAAAAACGTTTATGTCAAACGCACGTAACGATTCCCCCCTTTAACCGATTTAATAATAACCGGCTTTTGCGGTTGTTGTTGTTTGGTTGTTTGGTCGGTCGGTCGAACCGGGAAAATATTTTGAATCCGCGTGACGTCATTTTCTTCTTTCATTATTTTATTATTATTATTATTACTTCTTCTTTTTTTAAATTTAAATTTTCTCCTTTTTTTAAATCGTAACGCTTTATAAATGATTCAACCCATGAATTTTTACGTAGTTTATAAATAACAAGGTCATCATCATAGTTTATAACTGACGCAATAATAATAATATTGATAATGATAATAATAATGATGATGATGATGATATTAATAATAATAATAACTAACCGAAAATTGTATGCCCCTGATAATGACAGTGAATTATTATTTTCTAAATTTTTTTTTTGTTTTTATACTTTTTGTATTTACAATTACGACAACAATTATTATTATTAATATTATTATTATTATTATTATTTGTAATAATTTTTAATATATTTTTATTTGACGTTAATAAAAGTGAAAAAAAAAAAAAAATTAATAAAATAATACGTTCGTCGTTCATAATCAATTAATTATCTTCATTGTTATTAATATATTAACCGTCACAGCCATTTTTTTTCTTTCTTTTTCGTTCGATTGCTCACGTTTTGATCCATTTGATCTTCGGACTCGCAACCGAATTCGCACTGACCTTTCACCTTCCCCTCCTCCCCTTCCCTCCCTCCATTCATTCCTCCACTCAATAAAACATTTTTTTTTTTTTTTTAAATTGATTTAAAATTTAATTAATTAAACAATCGACAGAAATATCGGACCGCTCTGTAATAAAATGAATAAATTATTATTATTATTATTCCGATTCGAAAATAATTAATTTTAGGTCGATGAACCTGTTAACAGGGGAACCGACGAGGGGAGAGAGAGAGAGAGAGAGAAATAAATTCGAATCGAAAATTAAAAAAAAAAAAAAAAAAAAAAAAACTGGGGGCTTAAACAAACGAAACGTTAAAAAGCAATTTAAAATAATAATAATAATATCGTAGTTTTTTCATTTGTGACGTCATCGAAAATTTTATTACGCGCTAATAATCGAATATGTCAAAAAAATTTCAAACCTTGTTGTTCGACACAGGTTTTTATAAATAATAATAATAATAATATTAATAATAAACTTTTGAAAACGTGAGCAACACACACACAGGCACGCACACCTGATAAAACGTTAATTAAATCCCTCTCACCTAATTTCACGTTATTCTCATTATTCCTAATAATAATAATAATAATGATAGTAATGATAATGATAATAATAATAAAACATGGAGGAAAAAAAAATGTCCGAATAAGTATTATTTGAAGTAACAAAAAAAAAAAAAAAAAAAAAAAAAACAAAACTAATCGTGACTACGTGACGAAAGTAAAAAAAAAAAAATTTAATTTAAATTTCGGTTGTTAGAATTCCTCGTAGAAAGAGAGAGAGAAAGAGAGAGAAAGAGAGAGAAAGAGAGAGAGAAAAACATGGTTGTAGTATAATTATACCGAATCCGACTACTGTTTATTTTTTTCCCATTATTTATCACGTCTCTCCTTTCAGACCTTCTGGAATTTTTTTTTTTTTTTTTAAACGGTCACATTTAAACGGTCGTAAATGACGTCGTCACTTCGAAAACCGAACCCACGGCCCCGTCCATCATCAGGTGTGCGAAAACCTTCCCTCCACCCCCCCATTCTGATGACACGAAAAGAAAAAAACTGAGGGAGAGGAGGCGGGAGTGAAAGGAGAAAAAGAGGTGACAGGTAACCAACAAAAAAAAAAAAAAAAAAAAATTGACAAGTTTCAACAGCTGCCATCGTCATCATCGCCATCGCATTATTTTAACGCCTTTGACTACCACCATTACTACTACCGCATCATTCTCCCCCCCCTCTCTCTCTCTCTTTTAAAAATTAAAAGTCTCCTTCTCCACCTCCTCCTCCTCCTTCTTATTTTTAATTAAACAAAATAAATAAAAACAACGCGGTAGACGACAACATCATATATATATATATATATATATATATATTTCTTTTTTCATTCTTTCATTCAATTACTCTCATCAAATGAGAAAACATTTACGACCAGAGCTCGAGGTCACGTGATTTAAATCAAACTTAACCGTCATCGTTAAAAAAGTTGACGACGATTTTGCCGTTCTTCGTGTCGTCGTCACACACGGCCATCATCATCATATTCGAATTTTTTTTTTTTTTTTTTTTTTTTCCTCAATTGGTTTTTATGAAATTAGCCTTCCTCCTCCTCCTCCTTCTCCTCCTCCTCGTGTCCCATTGTCACTTGTGCGTATTAACCGTTTCGGTTGGGATGTGTGGTTCTTCTTGGCAAGGCTTGACGCGGAGGGATGATGATGATGATGATGAGAAAGTTATTATTTTCCTTTGATCTCATCACGTAATCACGTTTCATTGAATTCAAAAATAGTTTCCTCTCTTTCTCTCTCTATTTTTTCTTCTTCTTATTCTTATTCTTTTGAATGAATTTATTTCATTTTTCCCCCTCCTCTTCCTCATCCTTCTCCACCATCTTCTTCTTTGACAGTTTTTTTTTATTTCTTTTCACATCGCATCGATCTCTTTTCTTCTTCTTCTTCTTCCTCTGGCACACTTTCATATCATTTAATTTCATTTTATTATTAATTTTCTTTTTTTGGTTTCAAAAAAAACGGTGACGATACCAACAACTTGGATAAAAATTTTTCAAAAGATTTATAATGACGGGAAGGGAGAAAGAAGAAGAGGAGTGAGAGGAGGAGGGGGAAGAGAAAATAATTTACGTCGGTTGACATTTTTTTTTTTAAATTTTCCCGTCGCGACCGCCATTAATTACATTTTTTTTTCTTTTTATGTAAGTTATAAAAACAATATCAATAAAGGTTTATTATTAGGTACGACCACATTGCCTCGATTCGAAACGAGAACATGCACGAGAAAAAAAAAATATTTTTCCGTAATAATAATAATAATTGGATATAAATTTACAATTTAATCTGTTGTGAGAGTGAGAGAGAGAAAAAAAAAACAAATTCAAAAGGAAATTTATTATCAAATTTTCGATTGTCTTTGTCTTTGTCGTTGTTGTTGTTGCTGAATCACAAGCAGAAAGAAATTGATATCATTTCAATTGTTATTAACAAAGGTAAACGCGAGATTTCGCGAGATTCCGCAAGATTTATTACACACAAAGAAAATTTTTAAAGTGAGAAAATTTCGTTTTTTTTACGTTTTCTTTTGTTTTTTTCCCCCCGAATTTTATCGCCTCTATTTATTTTTTTAATGTACTTGGAAAATTCGGAAAAAAAGTGGGAAAAGCGTAGGAAAATTTTCCTTTTTCAACAAGAAATCTTTTTTTTTTTTTTTTACGACGACATCGTGGTGTCATTACGGAAGAACACGATTCTCGTAAATTATTCAAAAATCGTAATTTTTTTTTTTCGAGAACACTTCTTTTGTGCCTGCACCTCCCCATTTTCCAAAAACCCCTCCTCCCCCTTTCCCTCCCTCCTTTCCCGAATAAACAATTCGAAACCGCGCAATTTCCAAACTTCGATTTTCGATTAACGATTTCCTCTCGGATTAATAATAACAATAATAATAAAGTCGGCACACGAGTGATTGATTTGTGGAAAATGATGACGACAGACAAACAAAACACCACCACCCTCCCCCTCTCGATCCCCTCCCTCCCTCCCTTCCTTCCTCGAAATAAAAAAAAAAAAAAAAATTTAATTTATTTTACTTTTCGATTTCATTTTATTCGATTCGAATTCGATATATCCTTTCGATTCAACAACAAACAACAAACAACAACAAGTAATTTTTACACAAAGCAATTGTTGTTAACAAAAATTATTATTATTATTATTATTTTTTTTATCTTTTTTTTTTTTTAAATGATTTCACGTCGTCGTTTAAAAAAAAAAAAAAAAAAAATTCCGTTTGGAATTTTCAACAAGAACAACGAATAACGTGACGAATTATTTTCGCGCGATAACATTTACAACAATAATTACGATTATTATTATTATTATTATTATTTCCATTTTCTTTTTCGCGGTTAAACGTTTGAATAATTAAAAAATCATTAACCAAATGACTCAACAAACGTTTATTTAAAAAAAAAAAAAACTATTATTATTATTATTTTCTCGTCGTCGATTCAATGCCAAGACAAACATTTAAATGGCATCCAACGAAAATTTGCGAAAAGAAGAAGAAGAAGGAAAAAGAAAAAGAAAAAAATCGTGGCCAAGTTTAATATCCCAAAACAAACGGGAATAATAACAACAAACAAACGAATACGTACAAACACAAACAACGACTCCGTTTTAAAAAACCGTTTTTTTTTAAAATCAAAATATGGATTTGAAATTTTCTAGTCTCTCAGAGAAAAAAAGAAAACTACAAACGAATCAAAAAAAAA